TCAATGGAACAGAAATCATGAGAACTAAGCAGTTTACACAAGTCAAGTTCATGTCTAAAACTGAAGTTTACGGTCTGACATTTTAAAGAATTAAACATAAGACAATTCTCGGAGGATCATCGTCTAACAGTAGATAGAAACTTATTCAGTTGGGAGCAGTCTGCTGAAGAGAAGATAGGTATGAAAACTGTTAGGTCATCGGCATATTTAATGAAACTGATACCAGCTGAAGATGGTAGGTCATGTAGAAAGGATGAGAAAAGACTTGTGGAAACGATGGCTCCTTGGGGAATTCCAGCCACAGTAGGTAATGTGGTGGAGCACTTCTATCTGTGAAGAGTACGTTGTTTCCTATCAGAGAAATCGGAGTATAGCCAAATGATTATACGAAACTCACTATTTGTCCCGGCTCACTTGTCCAGTAAAAGAGTTATTGGGGCAGAATCAAATGCCTAAGTATAGTCTAAAAAGTCACACCTGACATACTTGGCACTTTTATCAAGACTGTAAACAATATCGTAATATAAAACAGTGGTGGTGTCTAAAGTGCTTCTTCTGCTTTCATATACAAATTGATTAGGGTCTCCGAAAACCTTCATTGAGGGCTCGAGCACGGGTATTATAAGCTTCTCCATTATTTTTAAGGATAGGGAGGTAACTGCAATCGGGTGGTATTTTGTACATGCACTTGGAGTCCTAGACGTAGGTACGGGGACTATCTTAATATTTTTCCTGGCAGATAGTATGGTGTTTTCTGAAAACGACCTGTTGAACATGTTAGCTAATAGGTAGCATGAAACGTCTGCACATTTCGTGAATATGAAGCTTGGCATACCATCCGGACCTGAATTGTGAGAAAGGTTTAGGGATTTGTGACAATTGAAAACATCGTTCGCCGTGAACTCTGGACAACGTTCTTCATTGGACATACGTAGACAAATTGGGATCGAACAACAAAGGGTTGACGTGAAAATGATTTGTTCAAGGCACAGACATCGATATAAGGTTTTTTGCTAAGGTGTTTACTATTAGTGAGGTCTTTAAAAAGTTTCTACGCGCTAGAAGAGCGTTTGCAGGACAAAAGTTTCTGGTTGTATAGTAGACTCAGACGTTTAATTTCCAACCTAATTAAAACGTTCAATCGACGAGCACTAGCATTATTACTTACCTTATATAGTCTTTCTTTTTCTCTTCCTAGTTTCTTAAGCTAGGGAGATGATATAAGATAAAAGTGTAGAAAAAGCTTTTCACTTGGGCAACTTATATCTAGACCGAACTCGAGATAGCGTATTACACCATCAATAGTATCATTCAAATCATCGCTGTCAAATATATTCCAATCTGTACATTGAGGGATTTCTGTTAGATTAAATATATTACCAGATGAATGGTTTCTATGTACATTCTTCTTATATGTGAAAGCTGTTTTGTGAAGTTTGCCATATATTTTGGGCAAAACACGTACAATGCAATGATCTGAGCTGAGTAGTGGGGATCTTTTTGAGTCTCGTTTATATCAGTATCATTGACGAATACCAACTCTAGTGTAGCATCCTGATATGTTGTGAATTTACCAATGTTTTGATGACCAAGAGTTATGAGAAAGCTTTGATCACAAGAATTGAAATCACCACATATTATCGTCAGGGGACCATAGATTATAGGGGCTGCCAGTTCTATGAATACATTTGAGAATTTGGGTAGTTCGTAGAAACTGCAATCTGGTGTCACATAAATATGTGTCATATAAATAAAGCGATATTTGTTCAAATGCTTTGATTGACATTTTAAAGTGATCCAATCTATGTAGTCATTAGAGAGTTTGAAGTAAGTGTAACTCGAAATGCACCGATGGGTATTGATGAAAGTAGCTACTCCTCCTCCACTTTTCTTAGTAGAGCAACATCGATCTTGAAATCATTCAGAGAGATCAAGTTGTCATCATAAAGTTTAACTAACCAGGTTTCTTGCAATGCAGTTACTCCAGTATTGCAGTACACCTCGGAGGATATAAGAGATTGTAAGTAGTCTATTTTTCCCTGCAGGGACCTGGAGTTCGTGCTTATAACTTTAGAAGAGTCATTTGATATAAGGTTATTCGCTTAAAAGCACGTTGCCATCCGCCATGATGCTTTTTCCTCATGTCATATGATACTGGTATCGTAGAAGTTCGTAAGCTTTTTAAAAATGTGCATGAATATATAGTGCGATCAGAGGACATAATAGAGTGATTAAAACGAATCAATCTGTTGAAAAATTGATGAAATATGAGAGATGGAAAATTTAGTAGCCCAAATATTCAAGCAGGCCTCTGAAGCTTTGCATTGCTGAGGTTCACTGTTTGTTGACACTCATTAGCAAAGCACATCTACAATCTCGAGTGAACTGATATCTTTTGGGTGATTTGAACCCGCGTTATGCAGTGTTGTGGTCAGCGAAGTTATCAGTGAACTGTTCAAACCGTGTTTGACCTCCATTTAAGACTGGATTAGATATAGAGGCTTTTCACTGGAGAGCTACTAATCGATGTGAACTGAAGGTTGTTTCAATTCAATATTAAACTGTAATATGAATGTGTATAATTTACTTTATTAAAAAACTGAGGTAAATAACTGTTCAATAATGTCTGAATTTTAAACTGCCTATCTACTGGATTCTGTCTGCACATTAAAGTAGGTTTAAATTGGTGTATACATTCATTGTTATGGTGGCAAGGTGTTACTTGACGTCTTCTTTATTTCTGTTACCAGGATGCTTAGGTTACAATGGAATATAAATTGACTCTGCTGCATATTTCACTTGAAAAAGGTGACCTACATTCAATGAGATAATGGACGTTTCAGTTGATAAGGTGACCACGAATTGTGATTGTAAAAAAACAAACGGTGGTCGTGTTTAGTTGATTTTGTGTGAGTTTCTGAACGAATAGTAAACGAAGTGGGGTATTTTGTTGGAAGTATTACTGACAGTATCATAAGAATGGAAAATTATTTTTGAAGCATGTGTATGAATCAAGTTTAGTAATATTAACTTTGCATGAGGGATGAAAGGGTCATATATCCAGAAAGGTCTTTGATCACAGAATGAGGAAATTACAGTTGACTTTATTGAACTCCTTCGTAGTTCTAATTCACCTGCCAACTATCCTAGTCAAAATATGTTATTGTCAAATTCTTTCCAAGAAATCTGAAATTAAAACAACGAATCGATTTATCAACAGATAAACTGAACTCCTAAGTTGCACCCAAAATGCAAAACGATGGGTATGTCTCAGGTACGGTACAGTAATAATACGCAATAATGACTCATAGATTACAATTCTGAAATCGTGAAGTGTCTTTGGACCACTGGTCATCAAAAACACCTTATAAGAAATGCATTACCAATATAAACAGCAAAGCCATGTCTAACAAAGCGAACCTTAGGAGAATATGGAAAACTTGCAGATCTCCATGATGAAGTAAAAGACACAAGATAAACAAAATGTTCAGGGTAAAATAGATCATTAGGGAAGAAATGAAGGGAGCTCAACACACTGTCAAGAACTGGGGAAAATATTATTATCCTAGGATGTTAGTTGACGAACAAATTATGATCACAACTGAAATGAACTAACCAAGCTGCGGATAAGTTAACATTTCGGAAAAACATGAGTTACACTACTTGTGCTTAGCAAATAGGGTTAGGCTGTAAGCAAAACAGCGTAAAAGCGAATGCTCGAGATATGAAGAAATTACAATGGTGTAAGAAAAAGATAAACATTTATAAATGAATATATAATTTTAACATTTTTCATAATTATTTTTGTTGAGCTTTCAGGGGACAACTAAGGTTTCATACATCTTGTATCTATGTAGAAACTAATTACTTTGTTTCACTGTTCCAGTTTATGAAAGTTTTTTACTTCAGATTCACTGGATTAGTCAACGTTCACCAACCATCTACACCCACCTTTCTGTCAAGGTGCTGATGGGTGACGAATGCTTCATTTAAGTTTCCTGATTAGCTACTTACTAACCTCCTTAACGTTCATTCCTAAGGAGACTGGTAATGTGTATCTCGTGTTTATCGCTTCCATTTGAATGTCTAGAAGTGTTTTGTGATACCAAACTGTTCACTGGTTTACTATATCCACTGTGCTGTTACTTCTACTAAGAGTTGTATGACAAATGTATCATCGCAAGAGAGACATTTTTACTAATCACAGAAAGAGATCATGTCTGTCTGTCAGTCATTGTTGTTGCTTTCTAATGTTGTTAGAATAATTCTGAGTTTTATACTATGCTGATCATCTTTGTACATACTTCGTGACACATTTTATAGTTACCTGACCGAATTCATTTTGTAGTCCACTTGGTGTCTAGTGTGAAATCTAGGACTCACGTTTCGTCCTACGTGGGACTCGTAAGCTGAATGTACCTGAACCTCAGTGCGGAGTGATGTTGTTGGCACTTTGACTCAAACTCGATACCAGTCGCTTCAAAGGTCAAAGCGTTATCCAATAGGCCAACAGAGATCGAGCAACTTAGCCTAGGATAGTAAGGTGAAATTACAAGTATCAATAAACAGCAACTGATAACTGTAGCATGAGGCAGTTGTTGTGCCTCAGTGGCCCAGCGGGAAACGCATCGAAATTCAAGACAATATGTACTGGGTTCGAGTCTCAGTCGGGTCAACATCGCTCACTGGGATGTAAGTACATCTTTATGACGTGTCTCAAGTAGGATAGGACATGCATCCTGGATACTTCCGTTAACCACTATCCAGTCAATTATAATAATGGATATTCGGGTAGTATCAAGATATCCATATAAGGGTCAACAGACCCACGGAAATTGAGCAAGTTGGTCTGTATGCACCAGTAGGGAATTACAAGTGTCGATAAATAATAAAGAATTCATGTTTCCGTAGGGATAATTGTTAAACTTTTCATGATTACATGTTTCAGTTGCAGCTAATTTTAATTTCTCTATTATACACCTTTTTCTTTCTTATTGTAGACGTTTCCAAAAATGCTGAGACCGTATAGTGGCCTGTTATTCGTGCATATTATCGCAGCAAATCTAATTGGTTGGTTTTATGTAACTTATGAAGGAACTGAAAACTACATCAACACGTATAATGACAATATACAGAATAGGACAAAAGAAATCAATGATAGTTCATCAAGTTAGTTCCTATCTTTATTCACTTCTTTTCTGATTAAAGTTTTTTTTATGCAAATCCAAGTGTTTTCGAATTGCAGATGAGTATTTCTTCTTCGACCAAATATGTTATTTGAATACAATGACATAGTCAGAACACGGTTTTGATCCTGTTAGTGGGACTCAGTATTTTCAAGACTTTTCTTTTTTAGAATTTCTCCATCACAAGCTTTCTGTCACAATGGTTTCCATGACTTACACTTAAATTTGTATTTAATTTGTATTCTCAAGAATAACCTACCATACACTGACAAATAGTAGATGTATATTTCGTGATGAATATAAGTTTACTTGGTTGTAGATAGCGGAGAAATTCAGGACACACGTTTCGTTCCATATGAGTCTCGTCAGCTGGATATATCTTCACCCCAGTGAGTGTTGTTCCCACTTAGAATTTAACCTCATACCCATCGGTTCAAACGCCTAAGCGTTACCCACTAGACCACCAAGGTATCAATATTAGGTCAAGAAATTCGATCCACTAGAAAAACGGAGAATTACAAGCATGTCAACAACTATGAACAGTAGTTGTCGAGATACATCTAGCGTCATGACTGTTTTTAGTGATGTGTTTTATCCAATAGTTCTTGAAACCAAAACATTATATCATTCATTTATACACTTAGAGATAAAATCTTTGAATTCAGTCTTCAGTTGGCTAATATTTGTCTACAATATGTAACACATTTATATAAAGTTAACCAATAACTCAGTGATGAATTTTATAATCTGTCACTTTCTCATTTGAAACAGAAGGCTACGATAAGTAAATGGGATATCAGATTATTCAGAATGTTTAGTGAATAAACACTAATTTCCTTTTGAGATAAGCTTCATCATTTCCTTACATAACATCGACTAACAAAAGAGACTTGCTGTTTCGGTCGCTACATTGCATAGGTATATGACTGCATAATGGACACCTTTGATACTTTCGATAGCGCACTTACTTTACTTGTCAAGTCAATATATATTAAACCGAGGACTGGGGGGAGGGGGACAAGTGCAACAATTAACACAATAGGGGATTAAAATTAAGAGAGATGAGAACAACTAGAAAGAAGAGTGACCTAGTTGATACTAATCTTGGTAAGAAAACAAAGTTTACCAAGTTAGGTGTAGTGTAAGAACAAACTGTTTTTGTGCAATTTACATGTGCATGGTCACACGTACATAGGGAGGAGTAATTGAGTCATGCAGCTGAGGGTGGGAGAACATATGCCTAAATGGCATCAAAAACAAATGGAGTGTGAAACAGTGATAAACACCGGTGGGAGACGACCCTCTTCATCCATAGCTAAACATATCATAGGTCACAAAGTTAATGTTCAAACAGCTTTCAAAGTGTTATATAGAAATAGTCAGGGACGTATTCTGAGATTTGCGGAAGCCATAGCCATAAACAGTTTCTGCTTACAGGATACCTAACCCTTAGCAAACTTTGTTTTCTTACCAAGATTAGTATCAACTAGGTCACTCTTCTTCCTGGTTGTTCTCATCTCTCTTAATTTTAATCCCCTATTGTGTTAATTGTTTTATTTGCCCCCCCCCCCCTCCCAGTCCTCGGTTTAATATATATTGACTTGACAAGTAAATGTGTGATGGATCAGGTTGTTCGAAATGTATTGCGCAAATACATCGCATTGTTCAGATAAACTTCGTCTTCCAATTACGCTATCGAAAATCATAAAAGGGATTAACTGTTTCAAATTTTTGAAGAGAAGACTCTCTTCATTCGATACTACCGAAACTGTTTTGACGATAAGAAACACCTTAATTTTGGTGATATAATTTATATTTTTTATGTGAAGTTACTTCAGTAATGTAAACTTACCGTAAGAAAATCTCCAAATCAATAAAGTCAAAAACCGGAAAAATAATCTTTAGATTTCAGTGGAAAGTATTTCGGGCGAAAATTTAACGCTGAGACTACACTAAAACGATTCTTGAATCGTCATGGTTGATTTTTTGTTGAAACCAGATATTTATTAAAATGATGTGTGATTCATTGTAGATGCAGCTGACTGATTATGGTTCTTTTTTTATAGTGGCTCTTTTGTTTTACTCAAATCGAGACAAAAACTATAACGAAGTGAAATTGGAAAAATTTAACACTTTTATTACACTTACTTATTAATATTTTAAGTAGTTGTTGTTTGCAACATTAAATTGCATGTTTTAAGTAAGCCAATTTTTGATAATTCAATCGTTCAAACAATGAGTAGCTGATGTAATTTTTTCTTTTGAACTTTCACAATTTTACTCTTGATTTTGTTATTGTTGGCCGGTGAAAGCATTTTTGTTCTAGGGGAATATCTTGACCCTTCGCTTGATATACCTAAAAAAATTTCCACTACATGTTTAAATACAAGGATTCAGAAAACCCTCCGGAAGGAAATTCTTTCAGTCACTTTATTATCAAACCTCTACATTAACGTACATAAAAGTTGGCTTATATTCAAAACTTAACCAAGCAATAATAATGTGGTGTGTTTCATGAGTTAGTTACCAAAGGGTATCTGCTTTAAAATATTTCTAGAAAGGTGAGTAAACGCGAGTAACTTAGAGGTAACAGCGCTGACTACAACAGTAGGAGGGAAATTGAGGTTCGTATCTCAGCAGGGACAACAGTTCCACTGAGGTGTTAGAAACGCGTTGCTGACGAGTGCTAACGAACGCAAAACTAAGGTGAAGTTGAATTTCAACCTAGCTACCTTTAATTGTATAATATCCATGACAGTGTAACGTGGTGCTGAAATTCTTACCTTGGTGGTCAAATCACAAAATGATCGGTAGAATTCAGTTGATACTGGGGACTAGATGACATGGAATAGGTTGCTCTTCAGTGACATAGAAAATCATCTGATGAATCGACCGAATGTAGAGAGCATAATTGTGAACTTAGTTTATACTTTAAGTGTTATCATTGACTGTGATATATACTTAGGTATGGTTTAGAATTTTCTTGCATTGAAACATATTAGTTTAGTTACCTGATCATTAAATAATCCAATAAAAATACTGAAAAAAATGGGCATATGTTTTATTTTATCAAGAAGCAGTGACTAACACTAACACTATAATACGTCTGCATCAAGCTACTTTTTAGTTAATTGGAATATATGTCAGGTAACTAACTCATTTGAGCACTCAAGTTTTACCCTACAAGCAGAAATGTGATTAAGTGGCCACATCAGCTTTCTATTTGTTAGTTGACTACATGTCAGTTACAAACAACAGGAATAGTAGGTTTATCAGGCATAATGAGAACTGCAAACATGTTATACTTTACTTTATGGGATCAATTTGGTGACAGACGCTGACCAAGCAAAGCAACGGGAAATTATATGCACCAGTAGATAAAAATGACTCATACCCTTTACACAAGAGTTGTCTATTGTACCTCAGTGGCCAAGTGAATAGCGTTTTCACGTTTTAAGAGATGGGCAATAAGTTTGAGTCCCGCATCATCATCATTTGAGTGCAAATATATCGATCTGACTAGTCTCAACTGCGATAGAATGCGCCCCTGGACTCCACCAAGTAAACTAAGGTGATATCGAGGCCTCCTCATGGAAGTAAGCCTATCTGCCGACAGGGATTGAGCAATTTTATGTAGTGTAGCATAGGAAAACCACAAGTATCAATAAACTAACAAGTGTCATTGTTGATACACTGATTACAGAACACATTAAGTCCTTTCTTTCGAGGATAACCGAAGTAAATATGATGCCGATAGAAACTTGTTTCTTCGCAAAGAATCAGCTTTCGGCAACAAGATTCCTTCTGATTTCGTTTTATAAAGTTGATGATTTCTATAAGTCCTGGGTATACTACATGGTATACAATAAAAACTTTACGTATAGTTAGCTCTGACTTACTCTTTGTTATCAGACGTTTTATCTTCTAAGGTTTCTTGTCTCCTTACTATGGCAAAATTTAGTGAATTATAATAAAAGTGCAACTTAGACACTTTGGTAGACTGTATGTAATTCCATTTTAGTCTTTCTATGAGATTTGTTAAATAGTGAAGCAGTTTTTTCTATCACATTATGCTTCAGACATAATTTGTTGTACATATTCATGTAAGGTAATTCCACAACTTAGAGGCATAATTAGAAATGGCTTTAATTTTCTCTTCTTCTTTGTGATAACGGTAGTAAAATTTTGCATAGATCTTAAACAGGTACAGAACCATTCCTACTGCACCTATTTGGTGTCTTAAAGCTATGGAATTACCCGATATAGATAAAAAAATTATGTTCAGAACGTTATCCAGTAAGTCATACTGCTTTACTGTGTGATACATCTAATAACCAGACTAAAATGGAAGTTATAGATTATTCCACTTTATATAAACTTTGATCGTATAGTATGGCAAATATTAGGCGGTGAGTAAAAGGTTACTATTAGACATAGATTGTATTTGTGTAAGTCACAGCGGGTTTGAAACGAAGTGATTCCGACATTTCCCTCCGAAGTCTGCTCCAAGCTTCTTCTGAATAAGCTTGGACCAAAACGCTGGTGACTGTTAGTTTGAAGAAACTGAAACTTCCAAAGTTCTTGCAAATTTTGTAGTCATAAGTTTGCATCATATCACTTAGCGTAATAAGAAGGTGTATTTTCAATAAGTAATAAAATTGTAAGTTCCTGATTAGGTCGGTTTCATTCAGTTTTCTTAGATAATCTATAAGAATGTACACGCTAAGTTATTTCGAGTATATCCTTTCTTAGGCAATCAAACACTTCTGACATAGTTTTGACATTCATACGTTTGCTTTAAGCTACTCAACATTAGTGACGAAGGAATCTTATGTGATCTTATGTGATTCAGATAAAAAAACAATGTAAGCCCTAACTCAGGGCTAGAAACATTCTATATCAATGTTTAAGCCACAAATGTAGTCATCTTTTCATGTGGTGTTCCACTTCAAAACGTAAGAATATAATCTTTTGAAAAAAGAGGATTTAAAATGGACGATCATCGCAAGACTAATGTTCAAAACATGTGCTTTGTAGCGATTTAAGCAGACCTGACAATTATTTGGGTAGTTGCTTTATTTACGTACATTATTCTTAAAAACGCAGTATATTTTAAATGAAACCAAGGCTCTTGTTAAACCTTACTGTGATTATCATTAATTATTATCATTAATAGTAGTAGTAGTAGTAGTAAAACGAAAACAGATTGGACAAATTGTCATCCATATTTTGGGCTTCATTCAGAACAATTCAAACACATGACACCTATTCATTTTCTGTCAACCACGCCTATAATAGCAAATATAGGAGAATGACTTGTATAATTACTGTACTACTTGAATATAACAATTGTCAGTGATTAGTTGTTGGCTTAGATGATGTACCTATGACAGAACCTTAATTAATGATCCATATGTTTTTAATTTCGTACACATTAGAATAAAGATACTTTTAACAGTAAGGGACGCTATATTACGTGATATTACTAGACTATTTGAGCGTCATTTGTTTTTGATCTGTTTGAAAAGGTTGGTTTCTTTCGCTCAACCTTGAAGTTCGTGCTGATGATATTGTATAGATAGACAATAAAAGCTTCATCGTTGAATCACTCAGCTTAGAGTACATAAAGCAACCAAAATCATCCACGAGTTTCGAATATTTTTTACCATTTCAAGATATGTGGAATAATATCCTACCATGTGACCCAGGTATCACTCCCAGATTATTGATAAGCAAGCAGTTTCCAAGATAGTGTAACGAAATAGGTTTTTTCATTATTAATTTGAAAATACGTTGCAATTTCGTTGGCGACAGATACAATTTATGCGCCATTGTCTAAATTGTCCGTTTTAACATTTTAAACTTTTTTGTTCAATTTTATACTACTAACCGTCAGTGAGTAGCTCAATTTAAAGTGATTTATTTCTTTGTAGTTGAGTGATTGTATGCTTCAAAAATGAAATATTGGAAATTAAGTTAAACTTTTTTCCCTGAAATAATGCACTATTTTAATAGCATCAGTATATTAAGTTTCGAAATTTATTTTGTCGCAGAAAATTTTGCTAAATTTTGGACTCTACAAGTGAATCGAAACCCAAATGCTTACCTTCTCAACGCCGTTGCACAGTCGCATATTTTCATCGTGGGTAAGCTTACGATTTAATCCATATTACTCTTATTCTAATATATGTGTGCATTTTTATATTAAAATTGGGTTGTGGAGGGGAATCACGCTCCTGTCAACCGCAAACAAAATATTAAGTCGCATCATCCTGGAGAGGCTAAAAGATGCGCTGGATTCAAAACTACGACCCAAACACGCTGGATTCAGGAAGTACAAATCATGTGTGGACAAAATTGCAACGCTTCCCATCACCATAAAACAGAGCACAGAATGGTAGTCACCCCTCTACCTCAACCTCAATCTCAAATTCATTGACTTTGAAAAGGCCTTTGACAGTGTCGACAGACAAGTAATTTGTTAGGCAACTGCTTCGACACTATGGTCTCAGTGCCATAAACCTTTATCAATCTCATTCAACAACTATATGAAGACGCCACATGCTAAGTGATTCACAATGGGAAGCTCAGTGATGCCTTTGAAGTGAAGAAAGGAGTAAAACAAGGCTGTTTACTACCACCCATGATATTCCTAATTGTGGTGGACTGAATCATGCAACAAACGGAGAGGAGCGAGAAGAGGAGGAAACGCTGGACCGCAGAAAAGAACCTAGAAGATTTAGATTTCATCGATGACTTATGTCTAATGTCACACAAACTCGAAGATCTACAGCCGAAAACTAACAAGTTGACAGAAGAGGCAGCGAAGACGGGACTTCAAGTGAATGTAGAGAAGACAGAGGTGATGAAGATACCCAACCAACACCAAAAGCAACAAGTTCCAATCATCATCAACATGAGGAACTTAAATAAAGTAGCCCCTTTAACCTATCTAAGTAGTGGAGCATCGTTTCAACTGCAGGTGGCTGCACAGATGAGGACGTCAAAGCAGCCAGGATCGGAGAAGTTAAACAGGCGTTCATTAACCTGAAACCAGTGTGGAGACCTACTCCACTTCACTCAGCACAAAGCGTGAACAACATCCAGATTTTCAACACCAAGTGCTTCTGTGTGATGGTTGAGAGACCTTGTGCATTACGAAAGGGATTTCCAACAAACCACCGACATTCATCGACATCTGCCTACACTGGCTCGTTACTGAAGATCAGATGGCCAGAAAGAACAAGCAACAAGGAACTCTGGTCTGGGAACGAACCAACTAATAACCTATCGCCCAAGAAATATGCAGGAGGAAGTGTAGATGGGTAAGGCATACACTGAGACGGCCAACTGGGGACATCATCTGCCGGGCCAGGCCCTCGAGTGGAACCCAGATGGGAAGCGATGAGTTGGGCATCGGAGATGGTGTGAGGAAGAAATGAGAGCTTGTGGGCATTGTGGAGCCAGGTTGAAAAGATTTCAGAGAGGGGAGTGGAGTGGAGACGTGCTACTGAAGCCGTATGTTTACTAGGAACCCAAGGGACAAATAATAATATTATAATAATTGGGTTGTAGATCGAAGCCATTTTCGACAGCTGAATTTTATCCAGCTATGTCTGATTATCAGCCTGAAGCTCAATGAAATAAGTTAGTTAAATAAATGCATCAATCTATACGATCTATTTTTAGCTTCCACAGTAATACATATGTCATTGTATATTGTTTGTAGCTTTTTCATGAATTTCAAAGAATAATTATCTTGTCAAAATCCTCTGAGATCAATTCGTGGAAGGAATTATTCAGTGAGCTAAAGTATAAACGACAACTTTAAATGGAATACTACTGTATTTAGAGTCATGAAAATGATGATATTCTCTAAGTTTTTTATTATGCCACTCACCAAATAATATCTAAGGTATACAAATGTAACAAAAATTAGGGCATAACACTAACAGATCTGTTAGTTATTGTATTTATGTTCAATTATGAATAAAAATTGAATTTCTCTCCATAAGTATGCAATTTAATTCATTATTCTGCCTTTCATCTTGAAGTTTTAAAAGTGATACTTTATAATGGAACCTATAAATCCAATCAGAAATCTTATTCTATTCTATTCTATAAACAACTTTTCGTGAATGGAGCTTTAAACCAGCTATAGTGGGACTATTATTCGTTTATAATCTGTTTATTAGCTGCAATGAAGTCTATCAAGGTTGAATTCATGCACTTGCTTGTTAGATTTCCTAATGATTTACCATCCTATCATGAACCGATACTAAGAAAACATTAAATTTTATTATCTTGGACAAATGGTTCTTCCAGATTTGAAAAAATTACCTAACTTATTATGTGTTATACAAAGCTACTTTAAGATAAAATTAGTGGTAATTGAATAGACAAAACTGCCTCTGAATAATTCAACACACTAAATAATCCAGTTTAGTAATTCAGAAAACCAGTAGTTTAATCGAATAGATATTTTTTTGCAATGAAATTCCTTATCGAAGAATGTACACTAATTTACAGCCACTTCAGAATACAAAATAAAATCCCGGTCTTTCGGTGATAAAGTGTCGCATAACAGACTATTGACCTTAGATGGTTGGAGGCAGTCAACAAGAAGCCCCAGCTCTAGGTTTCATACATTTTTGCACTCGTCAGCAAGGCGTACCTGCAACCTCGACGGAACTGATGTCCATCCAGCCTGGATTAAGAATCCGCATCACCCAGTGTTGTAGTTAGTGACATTACCACTGTGCTACTCAAGCTGCGATCGACAACCTGTAGGACTGGATTACATGTATTGATTAGTCACAGCAGTGCACTCCCGTGACCAATCGGTTGATTATTGACCTCAAAGTATCGACAGTGTGAAAATTATTTGAGGAAATTACACCAGTAGCTGAAGTATAGACTAGCTATACGGTAATAATTGGCGAACGTTAAACAATAGGAGATACTGATTAAGTCAAAAAGAAAAGAAGCGGTAATTCAGCGAAAGAGATTTTTTCTTTCAACAATGTCGTTTTCGAAAGGGATACAATCGTATATAGGTGTATACACCACGAATATAAAACATTCCACTATTGAATAATAAGGTGTGTGAATGCATTGTTAGAGTGGTGTTGAGTGGAGTTGTCTATTGATCAATCAAACAGTGAAAATAACAAGAAAAGTAAAGAGTTTGATATGATGAAACTTATTAATGGGTGTGAAACCCGATGGCTCATTGTCCACTTGAACGATATTAGATAAGGTGAAGAAAAATCCAATGGTTCTAATAAACGTTATAATACTGAACTAATTAAATTATAATAAAATCAGTGGAAGGAAAGGAAAAATAATGTTGAAGGGTTGCGATCATGGAAAGATAACTCACGCAAGGTTCAAGCTTTAAGTGATGAATCTCAGTACTTCTACCCTAGACAATTTTTGACATTCCACTCCTTATGAGCAATTCCTTTTGAATCTTTGGATGACATTTAATGAAGGCTTTAGTGGATCTGTACCTACAGTAGAACAAATGTTGAAGAATTGAAGTGCTAATCGATTCGTATTCTCCTCTTGACAGCTATGTGCAAGAATACTCGGAGATACGTTTGGAAAGTGCATGCTTTCTGCAACCTATATAACTAGCTTCACGGAAGCAAGTTAGTTTCTAGACACATACTGAAATAATTAAAAGCTGCAACTGGTTCTTACCACACCTTCGAAGAAATTCTCAACTAGAGAACCTGGTCTGTAGATTAAAAGAGTGATATGTGCTCCTCAACGATTTGAAAATTTACAGTGACTGTTCCCCTTAGGGTAGGTAACCAACTTCATGCTGTCTAGTCCTATGTGGTGATTGAATTCTCTCGATCATCTTGGATTTTGGCTACCAGACTCGACAGCTCAGCATCGTGATGCCCTTTGATCGATGATAGTTGGATGGAGGCAGTAAGCGGAATGTCTTAAACTTAGATTTTATTCTTGATGACACTCATCAGCAAGGTGTATCTGCAACCCTGATGGGACCGATGTCCTGCCTGAGATTCAAACACCAGTCACCACGTGTTGCAGTCAGTGTTTTACCACTGATCTACCCGGGTCGTAACTGACCTCCTGCAGGACTGGATTAAACATGCTGATTAGTCATTGAAAGGTTACCAAATTCACATTGTTTAGTCCTACGTGCTGATGTGGGTTTGAATCTCAGGTGGGATATCCATTCCGTTGGGGTTGCAGATACGCCTTGCTGACGAGTGTCAACAAGTGCGAAACCTAAGTCCAGGGCTTCCTTCTGACTGCTTCCATTTGATTCTTCAGAATCTATGCTTCCATATCATCTTTGTTTAGGTGTTTTTCAATGAATTTGGATGGATATAGTATTTTATATTATACTTTATCGGAGTTTCTTAACTGATCGTTGTTAGTGTCAGTCGCCCAAATTCTTTTGATTCTTGATGACAAAGAGTAAATAAGTTTATCGTTTTTATTGAACAGTGTTCAGCTGTGAATATTCGCATATTTACCATTCCGTCTCAACATCCTGTAGATCGGTCTCCGGTAGTGACAACGCTGTCTCCGTTTCAACAAGACATCCGAAAAATGAAATTTTCACTTAGATTGAAATTCTAATCTGATAATGACCTTATCCTACGCTCATCTCACAAACGATTACCATTATTACAGGTGTTCTCGTCATTTTTTTCAATTGTTATTGCTGTTTAGCCATCTTGTTCTTCCTTTTATTATTGCTAATTATTATCATTAACAATAAGATACTTAACACAAACAATCATTTACGTTTGATGTCAATCACTACTGTTGATTATGTAATGACCTGTTAAAAATTTCACAAATTTCACTATTCAGCTAATCTATAACCCTGCTACCATTATAATTCTCTTGAATAATTTTCATCCTATTGATACTTCAAATCGGTTGTTGACAATAAGTTAGTCATACAAATTGTTCTGATACATTTTCACCGTTTACATTTTACTTCATTTGTTTTATGTAAGCGTTTGTTAGGTTGTTGTTATATAGGTAAGCATATTGGCTATATTTTAAAACTCTACAGTTGATTAATTTCTTTCTGACTTAAAATATGGTCAGTTTTATGTAAAGAGAAACTTCAATTGACTATCTTTGTCGTCTAATACACTAAACTCGTTTATCTTTATCAGAATAAAATGAAATTCACTCTTCTAGTTGAAACAGTTGAAAAGCAATAAAGAATATACTGCATTTTGACTTGATGAATGTTTACTGATCAAGGTAGTGAGATGCACCTTTACACTGATTGGTAACCAGAGAGAAATCGTTTTCTTGTAATCTACTCCTGACGGCTGATCGAATTCTATTGATCTTTGCGTAGTGTAGGTACCAAGCTGACAGGTTTCTCATTGCAGTGGACTTTGATAGACGTTAGTTGGTTGGAGTGATCAATCAGTGTATATAATTCACTCCTACTGTAGGTCGAAAGCTGCTTCAGTAGCTCGCTGGTAATGGAGCTGACTATTATACTGACTGATGCAGGTTTGTATCTCAAATGGAATATCATTTCCGTGAAGGTTGCAGATACTCCTTTACTGACGAGTGGCAATAAGCATGAAACCTAGGTCAAGCTGAGTTTCCTACTGATTGAGTCTAACCAACTCACAAATTTACTTAAGTAAAAATTGGATACTAAATTCATCAAATGGTATGGTTCTTTTTTCCTTTCCTCAGTGTCATTCACTACAAAGTACCATAAAGCATGTTGACTGGGTTTAATATTTTCCTTTTTACCTACTCATTTTTTTAAATGCTTAATAGTCTTATTATGGATTAATTGGAACACTCAGAAATTGGTCAGAGTAATTCTAGATGCCGAGATTAATGAACCTAAAAGAAATCGTCTTGTTCACTGGGAGAAAGAAGATTATTCATCTCCATCATCTATTAATCAACCAGATCCATTGATGGACTTACAAATACCCGAACAACATCGAAATTAAATTATCATTATTATTATTATTACTTCCACTTTAAAAAACCTTATCTCTTTGGTATACTTAGTATATTATCAATAATCTTATTAAGTATACATTTATTTTCTTATCACTTAGATGACTATTTACAAATTCTACTTTGCTATGTTAGTCATTTTTTTATTCTATTATCTACAGTTTTACAAATCATTATATTAGTTTATTTATTCAATCATTTGCAATCAAAACGAATTTCAGTTTATCCGCGCATACTTTTAAAGAATTTTAATTGGTTTAAAACAAATCTACTTTATTTTCTGCTTTTATTTCAATTAACTGGTTCAATATGTTTTAATTTAATACAAATTATGGAAGTATTTTTTCAGGCTACTAATTTATACAATCAACATTTTCATCATATAGCATATTCTTTGAAGAAAATCACTTCAACTACTACACTGATTCCGTCTACACAGAAACTATCCAATCAACATCATCAAACTTCTCAGCATGAAATATTATTTCTAAAATATTTTGTTATCTCAACAGTTTGTTTAGAGATAATAGAAAACTTTCTTGAATTGCTATGCATACCACTTTTAATGGTAAAATGTTTTCTATATCAAATTATTAAATCAAAACTTTTCATTTGGTTATTAATTAATTTAATTACAAATGAATTTTGTCTACTAGTCATAAAATATTTAAATCCACAGTTGATAATTTTAGGAGATGATTATACTTTTCATTGTTCTAATATACTTTCATTGGATCAGAATTTGACTACTAGGAGCACTGATGCTAGTAGTATCGATGTTGGTGCTGCTATTACTACCTCTACTAGCGGTAATATTAATAATAATCATAGTAATATTGTTAGCATTGCTTCCGCTATGACAAATAATCATTCCCTTCTTATGCCTACCAGTCAAAAAGTTGGTGATGTTTGCTCTCTGACTGACATTCCTGTAATATCAGCTAACTGGTGGTATTGGATATTTATAAAACAGTTGACTCAGTCAATAGGCATCTTATTTCGGCAGTCAATGTTGATTTGCTGTGGATTTATATATTTCAATTAGTTTTTAACGCCTTCATACATGTTATAAATGTCACTGTTTCATCATTTCGCCTAAGGGAGAATGCCGAACAGTTTTCTTCTTATCTCCAGAGAGTATATACTACAGTGTACATATATATATATATATATATATATATATATATATATATATATATATATATATATACAATATTTCAATTCTTTTCTTTACATGTTCCCTCAAAATTAGGCTAAACTATTACTATTTTATTATTTCTGTGTGATATTCTAGAAGATTTGTTTTACCTTCTCGAAAACGATTTGTTATCGCTCTTTTCACTCGCCTCAGTTTCTGTGTATATTTATGGTCTGTTTTTACTAGAATTATTTGAATAAAAGCTTTTCAATGAAATAGCCTTCTCTATTACATGATAAGTATAGTCCGTACATAAGTCACTTGGTTGTGTTAAGCAGAGGGATTTATGAGGCCCATTTCGTCCTACTTAGGACCCATCAGCCGGATGTACCTGCACATCAGTAGGTGATGTTGTTCCTAATAAGACTTGAACCTCGTGCCCATCAATTCAAACGCCAAAGCACTACCCACCTGGCTGCTGAGGCACAATATCCCCCCCCTACAAGGGGTACCAGTTATTAGTATCTGTTGATATATTTGTAATTCTGCGTTGGTTTACTGTATCTGACTTTTGATATATCGGATCCTATTCAAATGACTCGGTATTTCCTGAATACTCATGATGATAACTTATGACGATTCCTCTGGATTCTTCTGCTAGTAACAACCTAGCAAATTATCATAATAAATATTCAGGCAACATCGAAGCATACGCGTAGGAGCCCGTATGTCAACAGAGATTGAACAATTCGATCCAATGTGACAACAGAGAATTATAAATATATTAACATACAGTAATAACAGTTTGTGTATTTTTATCTCATCTACTACTGAAAACTTTTTTAAGCATACTTTTCCATGTGCTTTTCTATAGCCAGCGAAGATAAAGCAAGTTGTCAATGATGACATGAAGATCACATTACACAGTTTCATAAGTTTAATCACAGTTTATAGAGTAACTAGTTCACCACTTATTCGCAGTACTTCAGTCCCCTATATATCAAAAATGCTTTGGTTTATAAATAAGGAGGAGAGCCTTAAGAGTTATATGAAAATAATTATATGATAAGCGTAGATTTTTATTGATATTTTGTAGGCTGAGAGATTTGTATTGTTTCTTCATAACCTGTCTCGTAAGAATTCTGATATGGACAGATGGGACATTTCCACACACACATATATACGATTAAGCAAACAGTGGGAGTTCCCTTCAAAAGAAAATTGGTAGCGAACGTAAAATACTCCATGTTTAAACAACCTTCATGCATTACACATTTAAGCAGTATAGAAGGGAAAATGACAAAATTATTTTTCTTTCTACAATTATAAAGATGGCCTACTGAAAGGTGACAGTATATCTATAAACTAAGTATTAAGAACAGTTCAAGCCTATTAAAGTCACTATAGGCGAAGACTAGCCACTGTTATGAGTAAGCATACACATATAGTTCTATACCGACATATTTATGTCCAGGTAAGTGTACCTATTTTTTGAAGGGACCTGAAATAAGTTTTTATTCAGCTTGACAAAATAAATGATCTCCACCATGTTATTCATTAAACCAGGAATGTTATCCATTTTATCGGTGATCAAAGCTTTACAATTAACACGGAGAAAAGATGGTAAGCAACTGAAATCCAAGTGATATCACTTATCCTCAATTTTCGTTGAACAAGATATGATGGTTTATAGTGAAGTATATCACTAATATTTTGTATTTCTTGAGGATAGGTGGTCTACAAAAGGTCTTGGTTACACTTTTGTCATTGTAAACAACCATCTAGAATGAGGACATAGATCCTCAGGGAAACTTATCATCTAGACACATCTTAGAAAATTTCTGTTGGCATATAAACTTCTAGTCATCTCATCCAATATCAGTTAAGGTAAAGTTTAGTTGATTGTTGAAATAACATGGCTTGATGGTTCACTAGTCAATACAGAAACTTAAATAAGGAACTGAAACATATAAAAGAAACACTATTAAGTAATAAGTACCCTCTAGAGTTTACTTAGAAATCCACGAGAACACAAAAAGAAACGAAGTATCATTATAATTGTGAGTATGAAGAATGACTGAATATACAAGAAGGAAGAAGTTCAAGTCCTTTTTTGTGTTATCATTTACGAGAGAGATATCAGAAACTTTACATAGTATTCTCAACTAGGCTGGAATTAGAGTGGCCAGAAACCTAGTAGTCACTGCTTCGAATCCAGCCTCGGTCCAAACTTTTATTGAAGAAAATGTGTTCCGTTCAAAATATTATCTAATGAAGTGCTCTTCGTTTTCCTTCGCAGTTAACCGGAAAGGTGAAGCTTTTCTGAAGGTCACTTTCTTCGTAGCCAGCCAAGTTGATTCAACGCTGAGAAACGTACTGCTTAGCCAGAACATTTTCCTCTATCATTCATAGTTTTTGAGTTAGAGGCTAATCTACAGAAAGTTACACTGCATACTTTACGCATAGTAAGGCATAGCGTGATCTGTTCTGTTAGATGTATCAAATTTCTTGTGTTTGGCCTGAATTGTTGACTTTTATACAATTCTTCAGTTAAAGTATCATTTCCCTCGCAGTCCTTAACTCTAGTTTTAATCACTTAGTTCCCCTAATATCGCGGTGTGGTTTGCAGCTTCTTACGGTCCCGAAGGGATTGGTTATATATTCCGGTAAGTCTATCTCACTTTCATTCTATTTGCAACATTCTTGATTTCAATATGAATATCTAGTTAACCCCATTTATTGTTAAATAGACTGCTCTTCATGCTTTGATCTAAATACTAAGACTAAAAAGGGTTTTATGCATATGAAAACGCAATGAGAACTAAGCTAAGATTGATGTATAAAGTGATATCCATGTAAAGCTTGAACTGGGAGTTTGATCACGGTAGTGACACAAACAAGTCCATCTACAATTTACAACTACTAAGTTATTAAGAATTTTAAAAATGCTGTCAAAACTTTACGAAATTTATTTCTTTAGTAGAAATAAATAGAACAGAAACACCAACTGTAACTACAGACATTCATCAACAACCGCCTACGCTGGCTTGTTACTGAAGATCAGATGACCAGAAAGAATAAGCAACAAGGAACTCTGGCCTGCTAAAGAACCAACCAAGAAACTATCACTCAATAAATATGCAGCAGAAGAGAGTGGAGATGAATTGGGCATACACTGAGAAGGCCAACTGGGGACATCACGCGCGAGGCCAGGGTGTCGAGTGGGACCTGGGTGGAAAGCGACGAGTTGGGTGTCCGAGGCGAGGGTGACAACATGGAGAAGATCGTGCGAGGAAGAAATGAGAGCTTCTGGGTTGTCGTAGGACCAGGTTCAAACGTTTGCAGAGAACAGAGTGCACTGGAGACGTGCTACTGAATCTCTATGTTCCATTAGGAACCCATGGAATAAATAATAATAATAATATCAGTGATTGATGGACAAAAGCATGCTTTTCACACTGAGCTTGAAGCCGTCTGTAGGACCGATGTTGGAAGTGTAAGTCAAAACATATCATAGAAAAAGGCCTATAGTAGTGTTTGCGCACAAAGTACACATAAAACATTTATGCTACTGAATGAATACTTTTTACTTGAAAAGACTGAGAATATAGAATACTACTGAGGCGTTGCATGTGTGAATAGAACAACTGCCCAAATTTCTATGTTATATGTAGATATTTCGTTGGCATCAATTAACAAGTTAGAAAGAATATTCTTCGATGAAAAAAGAATTACAATCCAGCTACAACATCGTGATATCACTTTCAAAAAGTGCCCCTTTCGGGCTTGATTCAATAGTTAAATAGTGATATGCGCCCCATGACAGGTGACAGTCTACGATTTCATCCTGTGGGTATGCACTGCTAAAATGTCCGAAGATAGAACGGAATAACATTGTGATCTTATCTGGCTTTCAGTGATGATGTAGACGATTCCAATTCACTTCAAAGTTAATCACTTCTCTACAAACTAACTGTTTACAAAACAGTCATCGTTTATGTGATGAATTTTAAATTTTTATTCTGCCCTCTGTGAAAAGCTTAAATCTTGTTTCATGCCAATTCCAGACAATTTCATCAGCTAAATAATTATCATAAGTGAATGAGACCATCATCTTTTCCATTGAAATAAAGAATAAGACCTTAAACTTATAAAATTGCAACACTTCATAATCTTGTTCTTGATCTTTCAGTAGAATAAAAAGAGATCATATCCAAGAGGCAAACTACAGTGTCCCTCAGTTCCTACGATACTTCTTTTTGTGAACTTTCAGTTTAAAAAAAGACTCATCAGCAGGAACATTAGGAAACCGTTTGGTATGCTTATTCTGAAAGACCATAAATGTCAAAGTCATACTAACTTCCTCCACCTACCCATTGAGTCGATTATGCGTTAAGGATAAGGTGACTTCCTTAGGCCACCTCTATGTGCTTTTATCACTTACTTCTCTATAGTAAGGTATGTGGACCATACTCGCTTTCTCTTTCTGGACGTACCTGCAGGGGTATAAGGACCTTAAACCTCTGTCCTAGGATATTTCATTGATGCAAATGCAAAAAACACCTAAGATTTCATCTATAAAGCTCTAACAAACCTCATGAAGGCTGCACATTTGGAATTTCTTTAGGCTATGAAAGTCAAGTTGTACTTTGAAGCCTAAACTCTGTATTCAAAATAATTTTTCCAGCTATCTGATTTGTAATGGATGTGACCGGTTTGAAAATTTTACTACCAAAATCTTTTCTTCCACCTTGCTTCCGACATATAACTTCTTCTCATCCGCCCATACATTTCTGACCTCTCATTTTATTCATCAATCTAGTAGTAGAGTCTAACAAGAAATTCTATTTCTGTGATGTCCAGATCCAAAGAAAAGACAACAATTCAGTCAAGAAATCCATTTTCGTATAGATCACTTAGAATAGGCGGTTTATTAATTTTAAAAGTTATGTTTCCTAAAGTAGAAAGAGGTATCTTGCAGAATCCTTCTCCTCAAGAATACCA